GTCGAGAGATGCTTTAAAGGGAGGCGCTGAAAAAGAAAGTGGTTCTTAACCATCATCTTCAGTACCGCTAGGCCAATCCCTTGTTTTGCGATGGTTTGGTGTTTGATCACTGTGCGAGGTGACTTGCTAGAAATCGTTGCGTCCCACGACTAATCTTATACACGCTCCCAAACTCCTAAATAAAGGCCGAAAGAAACCCTTCCATGTAAAATAAAGCAGTTAACTAAAAAAGGCGATGCCAACACATGGAACATTCCTGTTCTTAAAGCGATTATATCTGACAAGCGTTTGCTCGATGTCACGGTGCTGGGCACTTGCTCTGGATCGATGCGCTCCGATCTAATTCGGTCAGCTCCGTGTGTGAGCGTTCCTTTTTTACAGGTGTTTGTGCCTGCTCACGAGCCGACGGCGTGATGGCCCTGCATGTCTGTTGCTAGGTCAGGTATATGGCCAGGCAATAGCGCTTCGAGGAAACTTTGCCAAGCAGACGCCATCCCGTGATTAAACCTGGGCCGTCATGGGGAGCGTTTTAATCTTAACTTCCATGAAGGCAACCATGGCATTTTGAGCCATTTGAGCGTTAGGTTTGCTATGCTGCGCCTGCACTGTTACGATGCCGGACTGAGATCAACGCGGTTTGGACTTACGATCTGTTGAGATGTGCGAAGCATTTGCAGCTCTTCTAATTAGTTCGCAACTCACAGTTTGAAAGAATATCGTCTGGACCGCGTCTAGTCAACGCCTGGTGTGTGGGAACCCACACAGCCATATGATGGTGCGCATTTAGGTAAGACAGAATAGCTTTATTCCTCGTAAAAAAAGAGGAGAATGGAGTGGCAGATGCGTATGTATTTCGGTAACATGCCTTAAAGAAACGAATATCAGTAGTAATTTGCTTCTCGAAGTCGTTTCGTTTTTTAGTTGAAATTTGACATTCAAAATTGCATATCAATTCCATTCGATTTCCAGGTTTTTTAAGAGCGAGCCACAGTTTTTATAGGTCATCAACATTCAAGTGATTAAACAAGGAACAATTGCTAGTCATTACCACAATACAGTGCATATCTAACTAAAAATAAAAGTACGTGAAAAATACGTGGGCATGCAAACGAATTCAAGTAAACAGGCATCACGCATCATGCTTCTTTCAAACATGAGGCGATTTCACTTAAGCAGGCATCAGGCATCACGCATCAACTGTACATCTGAACGATTTTGATAAAACAGGCATCGCGCAACACGCATCAGGCATCACCCATGCATGTAAACGATTTTCAGCTGGCACGGATCACATAAAAAGGTACTCATGACGTTGACATAATTGGCCATGATGGGTCCTGCACGTTAAGTTCTAGTCGCCGACCTTTTCTAAGACTAGATTCGCTGAGGCATCAAATCACTATGAGGCATCGAGATGCGGTTTCGCGAAAAAAAAGTCTCGAATTTCCAATGGCGGTTAACGAGTGCCATTTCACCGAACGTGAAAACTTCGCATGATTTTACAGACATGTCTTTTTGTCATTATGTAAAAAAGACGACTTGCAAAAAGGGGAAAAGCATACTACTGACATGACTTTGACTACGTGCAATTTGTCGTAATTTTAGTTCTTGACATGACTGAACGGGTCAATGGAATAACAATTTTCCCCCTTTGACCTGACATGGCATGTTACGCTGAGGGAAGTCAGAAGGGGCAATCGAGCACTTGATCCCCTTATTCGGTCCTCCCAAGTCGGTACCAGCCGGTCAAAATTCAACCGGAGCACAGTGATGGCTAAATATTTTGCAAACATCTGATCAGTTTTGGAAAACTGAAGCGTGGTCTGGGCGGAGACGGCCAATTCTCACACGCTAAGGGTTGATCGAGTGCAGCACGAGTGTTGAGTGTTGGCGATAAAAGAAAATAAAGAAACAAATCGTAGAGCTACACTTGTCGATGTACACTGGAGCCTAGTCGATTGTTTTTCAACACTAGTTCAGCGCCTTATTCTGCATTGTCGCGGTATGTTCATACGGCAATGACTGACGCATGCTCGTACCTGCAATGGCGAAGGCATGCTCATACGGCGCAGATAAAAACATCCGAGCTTGAATTTTTAAAGTTTGTACTGGAATGTTTGGAAAAGCCGAATACCTACTCAAATCAGCACAGATGCGTCAACTTTTCGTAGATTTAGTCTCATACCTCTTCCATCGGATGGATTTCTGGGGTCAGCGACCCCACACTAATAAATGCTTGCTGGGTGAGCCCTGACCCCAGCATCCGGTCATGAAGTTCCAGTTCAATAGCAGAAAAACTTGTGACGGAAGTTTTATGGATGGCTGTCAAAGTGACCATCGCATTCGGCGCCCCACACCATTAAACAACAAAAGGTTTTGTGTGCCACGAGGTTGAGCACGGTCCCACCCTACTCTCTGACCTCATCTGACCACTGAGCGGCCGTTGCCAACTGGCGCGGGCCATCTCCGTTAGAGGCAGACAGCACGCGCAGCGACTCAAACCCTCATCCCGTCTGGAAAAGTTCGGAGGCAGACTCTCTTGCCCACTGAGGTACAACAGCCGAATCCTGCTTTTTCCAATTTTATTCTCGCCGTGGCACCAAAAGACGTATGATCACGCGCTGATGACTTCTGTGTTGTAATTGTGAATTTGTGCGGCAAAAACGAGCCCTTCCTGGCGTGTGTGTGCGTGTGTTCCGGACGGTGTGTAGCACGCGGGGTGACTCGAAGACGAGCTCGATTGAAATTTTGAATATATTAACATTACCAAACCTGTGCTCGTTTGGAATGTTTAAATATCCTTTGATATCTGGCGCCGGCTCCAAAACACACAACTGTGTGGATCGACGGCGCGCCGGGCTGTGAGTGGGAAGCGCCTGCGCTGTGACGCTGATTGACGTGAAAGCATGATGGCCATGCCGTGTTAGAGGGAGTATCCCACCTTGTTGTACTGCTCACTTATTGTTACATCAGACGCGTACGATTTAATCAGTGATACCAGTTTTCTCGACATTCTTCTAAGTAGCTCCAAATCTGAAAGTAGCCGACCCTATGGCAGAAGTCTCGACCATTACACTCCCTGCTCACCACTATGGAAGTAATGCATTTTGTTCGCCTTGCATTTTCCGAGGCACATGATCTGTATGTTTGCAACACACTAATGTTTTAAATGGGTGTGTTATAAATGGTGCTGAAGATTGGAACGCTCCCTTTCGACGAAAAAGCAAACACGACGCTATTATCCCGCGAATTCAACGAAACGTCATCCTGTGACTTCGATTTCTCCTGTATGACGATCACCGCAGCGGCTGTTTTCGAGGCGCACTTTGGCTTTGGGAATAGGAGCATCACATGATCCACGTGACGCAATGGTTCAAACCTCAACCAATCAACTTCTCAGTAACAGGCCCTTGTCCTCTGGGCCAATCACAAACGTTCTTCTATTCGTGTTAGGCTGGACGTGCGTCTGGCGCGCACGAGCTTGCTACGGCCAGCCACCACGTGACCGCGGGTCACCGGGCGTCCGCCCGTAGCCGGCGGCGGCGGATCACGTGACCGGGCGGCGAGGTCGGGTCGGTGCGGGGCGCGTGGGTGGCAGAGGGATCGGGGCAGCCGTCGTTGGATGTGTCGTGTCTCGAGCTGTACTGGCAATGAAGTATGAAGAAACGTAGGTTTTGCTCCTTGCCCGTTGGGCTAAACACAAACGTTCTTTTATTCGCACCACCGGAGGTGCGCACGGTGGTTGTCGTGACGACGGTGCAGTGAAGAAGCGTAGTGCTGTTACCAAGCGTCGACAGCGTAATTTGGACTCGAAAATTATTAAAATTGATAACCTAATCACGTCTTTGCGGTGCTGGCGTGGCACTTCCCAGTGCTACTGGCAGACGTAACTTGTTGACCGTCGAGCTGGGCCGGACAGGCCGTGTTGACGGCTGAGCTGATCCGGGCAGGCTGCGTTGACGTTCGAGCTTGGCTAAGCAGACTGTGTCGACGGCCAAGCTGGGCCGGGCAGGCGGTGTTCACGGCCGAAATAAGCCGGGAGGTTTTGTTGACGCTCGAACTAGGGCGGACAGGCTGAGTTTACGGCCGAACCATGCCGGGCAGGCTGAGTTTACGGCCGAACTAGGCCGGGCAGGCTGAGTTTACGGCCGAACTAGGCCGGGCAGGCTGTGTTGGCGCCCGAGCTGGGCCGGGAAGGTTGTGTTGGCGCTCGAATTAGGCCGGGCAGACTGAGTCAACAGCCGAACTAGGCCAGGCAGGCTGTGCTGGCGCCCGAGCTGGGCCGGTCAGGCTGTGTTGGCGCCCGAACTGGGCCGGGCAGGCTGTGCTGGCGCCTGAGCTGGACCGGGCAGGCTGTGTTGGCGCCCGAACTGGGCCGGGCAGGCCGAGTTAGCGGCAGAGCTGGGCCGGGTAGGCCGCGTTTAGCGGCAGAGCTGGGCCGGGCAGGCCGAGTTGCGGCAGAGCTGGGCCGGGCACACTATGATGCTCGTAGTTTGAGACTCACCACGTGCATGGCTTAGCTCAAACAACAGAAATGTGCACCGTCTGCACATACCACGGCCTTAAATAAGGCGCCGCGATCGCGGTGCACCGTTGGAGTCCCGGTGCACTAATGGTGTCCCGGTGCACCAATGGTGTCCCGGTGCTCGCGCGGGCACCTGACTAATGATGAAGATAGCTTCCTGTAGAAATTACTCAGTGATAGGAAGATCATTGAAACGGGGGACCGCTCGCAACCAAAATAGTTCATGGGAATTACGAAAAAACGTAGCGTAACGTTACTCGCACGTGCACCACCAGTTTTAAACAGTGGCACCCACTAAGGCTCTCAAATCAAGGCCTGCAGCGTAGTCATGTTGGATTTCCTGTCGTGCTCCTAAAAATGGTTCTTCTCCTTTACCAAGTTTGCTCATCAGCAACGCAAATGAAGTGTGAATACTCCCGGCCAACACCCACTGGAATACCGAAGCCATTCAGAACTTCCACCTCTGTTCTCTTACCAAACTAGTCGCAGGTCACCCGGAACTGTGAAGGCTCCTGGCTGTCCGACGGCGACCCTCCAGCCCGGCGTCCACAGTACCCCCGCAAAACTCCGACGGAGCTGGCACCATCGCCGCACCCCTAGACCTTAAAGGCCGAGTCACGTCCGCCGCCCCGCAGCAGGTGGCGAGCAGCACTGCCGGGGCATTCCCGACACCCACGCTTCTTGTCCCGGACCTCACCGCCAGCACAGCGCAGTTCAGCGGCGAGGACCCCCGCGACCCGCTGCGCACACTGTGCGTCCGACGTTGGCACAGGCGGCCGCGGCCACCACGTCGGCCAGAGCTTTTACACTGTCCGACGCCGCCACGCGAAGGCAGTTGGCTGGCCCAGCCACGCCGGGGGAAATTGACGGCGTGTTATGTTGGCGAGAGGCTGAGCAGACCGATCGAAAAGCTTGAACTGGATTGGTCGTGGTCTTCACGAATGCAAACGTGCTGGCGATCGCTCAACTTCCGGATTTCCCAGAGGTCGGAATGCCCATGCCAGTAATACGCATGCGCACGGCTGGGTGGTGTTCGGGGCGAGCTCCGTACCGTGATTGGATGTGACTTGTTCACGTTAGCTTATCGGCCGGAGCGCAGGCACGCTATGGCGTATTATGTCATGCAAACGGCATGACAGAAGTGCTTTTTGGCGTTTGAAATATGCCGGTAGTAAAATCACGCAATTAGTCACACAGCCCGACCGTTAAGCTGCACGGGTCGTGTGTGGGCCACGGGCGCAGCTGGGAACCTCTACTGTTGTGACTTCGGGTTTACGCGCCACTCTGTCCCTTGCCGGTCCTGGTCCCAGAGCCTCTTTTACAAGTCTGGATAGGGCCGGGCCTGCAAATGTTAATCCAAAAGACCGTGCATTGGTCTGGCCCCTGCGCTGTTCAGGGACTCACAACGCCTAACAAGGGGCACTGTGTCGGAATAAGCCTAAAGTCGGCCATGGGCGGATTTGCTGAACAGGGACGGGAGCGGGACTTCAAATGTCAAAAGGCCTCTTGCGTTGGTCAGGACCCACTTGCCAATGACGGAAGTATGATAAATGATGACGCAACGACTTGCTATCAATGCGACAGTGACCTGTGCCAGTCCGAGGTCGCGGCGCCGAACGAGGGCCCTTTCGCATCGTTTCAACCAGGAGGCAGGGGTCGATAAGCCGCACCGTTGTTTCGGTGCCAATTAGGTACTGGACTCCCTGTGCCGGTAAGTGATCCCTTCGCGTCAGTGACGCGTTCTCGCGTGGATCCTGTGTCAGATACCCAGATCAGAGGGCCTGCCGCGTCAGGGATGGGACCGGTGCACGGTGCACATCTCTGAGGGCCTCCGAATTGACTAGGGCATCCCGGTCTCCGCATTGCCAGATTAGTAGTTGCTACTTACCCTGAACTGGGATGAAAGGGTCCTTGAAAGGGTCCTTGAAAGGGTCCTTGAAAGGGTCCTTCAGGTCCTGACCAGGACAATTTATCTATGTGATTTCGAGGTGGATTCTCAGAATGGACTGAGCATCACGAGCATCCGGGATTACACCATAGAGTCATCAGTCCGTACTGCTGTGCATGCTGAAGCAATATGAAAATGCGTAGGCAATTGCGTATGAAATAAAAATAATGCGTGGACATTAAATATTGTGTATTGTGCATGTATGGTGTGTGTGACAACATACGCCTGTTTTGAAAGCTGCTACTTTGTTATACTACACTTATCTTATTGCTCGAATGTAAGGCAATCTTACGTGCCGGCGGCGCGGTATGCCTAATACCCTTGTTTTTAATACCTAGAACTCATGTTGTGTAAAGCATCGCCAATGGCGCATTCCTCAATAAGAACATAAGAAATTTTCGCGCCACTTCAAGACACTCAAAACACGCAGCACAAGACTGGAATAGCTTCATGTTAACGACACAAAACATATTATCGGTGTTCCGGAGGGCTGACTATATGCTTTACTCCAAGAAAGAATATTCCGTCGAAAGTCTGCGAATTTCAATAGTGTCATCACTTTCAGCTACCACCACCAAAATATCAATATTCGCGTCATGGCATGTCCCTCGAGTGGCATTACGGGTTAAACAATGTGCGCAAATTATCGTTGTTCCGTTCAGCCATTCAAAGTGGGGTTTGACTCCCCGCGGTGCCCGCCCCTTATGCAAGGATGAGAGGCACGCGTCGTCATGCAGTCTTAGAGGCGTCGGAAAGGCCCAATGACGCACATTCGCCATGGGGCTGGCGACTTACAAAATGCAGCTTTTTGCGAGCTCCGTTTTACGCAAGTTATTGGGTATGTGTTACATTAATGCCTTTCTTCCACCAAATCGGGAATCATAGGCGTTAATTTGGAAAATGACTGGGGGTCAGATTCGTGGAAGTTGGCAGAAGGGCGCAGGGCCAAAAACTTTTCTGATTTCGTGACCGATACTCTTGTAATCGCTTATATATATATATATATATATATATATATATATATATATATATATATATATTATGCATACACATGTTTTTAAAGCGCACGTGCGTAGCTATAACAATCATGCATGGAAGCCTCGCAGGTTGTATTTGTTTCTTATAGAGGCACCTGCTCTGTGAAGCTCAAGGGATGCAGTTGCAGCTCTCCCTTGCAAACTGAAAAATTAGGTTGGTGTATAATTGACTAATATGTGCTTAAAATGTTGTGTTGTCTTTAGTCATATGTTCACAAGAATCGCCCAGTGTCCACAATATATGCGACTATCACAGCTCATGTATGCGCAGGCTCTAAGTTTACCAAAATTTAATCGATGAATCGTGTGCATGTTAATGAAAACCACTATTAACAAATTCGTGTGAAATACTGTTCACGTTCATGCCACGCATAAGCTGAGAACATGGTTTTCAGCCTTTCCGCTAACGCGCTTGTGCAGATGCCCTCCTGATGACAACCTCTTTTCCCCGCTCTGTTCAATGAACACGAAATGCAAGTCAGCTTTATGTCTGGGGCACACTGTCCCAAGCTGTTACGCGTTTGAAGGGAAAGCAACCCTCCGCCGTTTCACTTCGAACGTGTAAAAAATGAAACACCCGTTATATCAATGTTAGGCGTAACGCAGGTTGATTGTCATAACATTGCTAGTTGAGCTGGCTTTTCCGTTACCATGGGGTGATATTTACACACGCATACTCGGTGCTCAATGAGCGTGGCAACACTGGACGTAGCCAAAGTCTTGGTAGTTGTGGGGTGGGGCACAGGGTTGCCTGAGCCAGTTCCCTCGGGTAAGGCCTCCACCCAAAAAAGAAGTCATTGGACACGGCCCACTTAATTTCTAGGGGGTCCTGCCCTTCTTAGAATCCAGGAGTTACCAATACATACAATGATGTTTGTATTTTTAAGTCGATAAACTGAAGGAAATACGCCGGTGCTATTCATTTTACAAAGCTTTAGTGGGCTCTTCCCAAGCCGACAGCACTCGGGCTGCACCGGAATTTTTTCTGGGCTGTACCGGGACATCGTGCATGTAGATCTTAGATCGAAATAAGGTCGTAAATTTACATTCACAGCAACCTGTTCTGGCCTCAGAATGCTCAATTTTGTTCAGAATCAAAAAGGGGAAGAATTACATAACCCAGATCTGAACGTGCGCGCTCGCGCGTTTGACAACAAAACCCCCGGCGTTCGGTATTGCAGTTTCCATAGGCCGTGTCGCGCCGATACCGCGTCTGACACTAGACGGTGGCCAACAGGCGGACGAAAACGACAACGCTTCTGAGGGAAGTACCTTTGAACGCTTTAGGATGTTAACTGAAACAACCGGAAGGTGTTCCGGGAGTATGTTTCATCTGTGCAATTTTTAGATTTTTGTTATAAACAGATTAACATTCCAGCACCGCGAATCGTTGTACGGATTTAATGGTGAGTTGTTCAGTGCATTAGCGAGGAGCATAGTCCACATAGATAAGACAATAGTAGTAGTAGTAGTAGCATTCCTCGAAGAAAAAACAGGAGAATGAAGATATAGTTGGGTTGATATTTCGGCAACATGCCTTAATCGAAGTATATGAGATTTACATGTGATTTATTACTTCTGCTTTTGTTTCGATAAGGACATGTTGCCAAAGTATCAACCCAACTATAGTTCCATTCTCCTGGTTTTTCTCCGAGGAATAAGGCTAATACTACTGTGTTATCTGTCAATTTGATGGTAGAGCTAGGCAAGTAAAGGAAGAATTTTTACTTTCGTGTTCCTGTGGCTGTTAAACTCTTCAGAGGATAATGTCAAAATTATTCAAGTTGAATATACGCCGCCGCCCATTTTCTTAACGGTACGAATTGTTTTCAAAGGCTTTTGGCAGCACCGTTTCACGATGGCTATTCTAGGGCGCCAGATGCCCGCCACCCGATGTTAGCTGCAGTGGCCAACGCCGCTCGGTCTCATGACGACTACAACCCTGATCATTGGTGTTCTCTCTGTTAAGGTTGTGAGCACGCATGCTCAAAACTGCTTTATGCCATTTGTTTCACATGATGATCTGGACAAGGATGGACACCTCGTTTGTGTTGGCCTTTTTCATTTTTGACCTCATTGTAATTGGTCCAGCTGAACACTAAAGAAACGCCTTTCCTATTATGGACAAGGAAACCATTGGGTAGACCAATAGGGGGCACATTATATTTCCCAGTCAGGGGCTTCGGGGTCATTCAGTTACAGAGTGGGGTGATTGCCGGCTGCCATGCCGGTGACACAGGGACGGGATCCCTAGTCGACAGCAAACCCTTAGAGGGATGCACCACACATTCGTCGCCTCCCTGACGCCGGAGGCCCCCTGATTCGGCCTTTTGTTCCCAAATACACGCAGGGGTCCTCATTGATGCAAAAGATCTCTTGTCGTCACAGGTGTTCAATAATTGGCATAGAGACTACATTTCGGCATAACGGCCCCTGGCTGAAATGGGATGGAGAGCCCTCCGTTCGGTTCCCGGATTCTGCTTGACAAAGGGCCTTCCATTATCACGTTGCGGGCTCACCTCGTTAACTCTCATCTCCACTTTCATTGTCAGAAGGCCTCGACCAGTGCAAGAGGCCCCTGGTTTTCGGGGTCCCGTCTCTGTTCCTGCCCAACAGATGTTCCCCCGGCCGACTCGAGGCCCTTTGCAAATATTGGACCCTCTATTAGATACTGTAGGCCTCTGTCCAACAAAGAAGCCCTCATTCCTTCAAAGGGTCCCAACCAATGCAGATAGCGGGCTCCTACCTTGTCCCTTCTTAGGAACTGGGCCCACAGAGCACAGACTGACACGGAACC